GATGGGTGCTCAAAACCACAGTCGGCAATCGCCTGCAATAGCTCAGGCTTGAGCATGAGCTCCTTGAAGCCTGTCGCGTGGATGCCTACATAGCCCTTCTTCTCCTGCACGGCCTTTCCAGGGGCCTCCGTCTCGGCTACATCATCCTCCTCGTAATCAAGCAGCTCCTCCTCGTTAGCTGGGTCGGCCATGGCTGTGCGGCTTAAAGGACAAGCAGAGATGGAGTTATATACGGGACACGCTAAGTAATTCCTATCAAAACAAGTCCTAGGTAAAGTATCAGTAGTAAATTATCGGACATATGAGTTTCTCTTTGCTTGCCAATCCGTACTTGAAGCCTTCCCTGGAGAGTTTTTCCAATACCCCAATTGTAAGTTTGCCCGCGTGCGGAAGGCAATAAACAACGCCCATATTGACATATCACGACTGGCCATGTCATTAACCTGCACACAATTGTTCAGGGCGGTGTATTGGAGCTCTACGCTATGAGCGGACGTGCACGTGCCTGGGCAAGTTATATGTTTGGCTTTAGTGAACTGGTTGCGCGTACACAGAATTACAGCATAGTTACGTGGCAAGTGACTTAGGTCCCACCGCGTGGCGCATTTCACAGTATGACCATCCATCGCAAAGCCTGCAGTGCACGAGGCAGGAGGCATTATAGGTCAATTGGAGCTTTAGGGTTCGGGCATGTGTAAAACGCGGGACTTAGCCATAAGCGATCGCAGCATGTGTATGGTGGATCTGGGACGCCTTGAGATGTTGCACAGTCATGCCTGGTTTGTTTTCCGTAAGCGCCGTCACCCCCATACCGATATGCTGCCATTTGACATGCCGCCTTTTAAAAACGGTGCTAGCTGCGGGCCGCTAAACCAGCAGCTTCAATGACGGGGCCTTACAGCTCAGGTTCCGCGGCAGGAACCGCTCACGGTGTCTAGTACAATGTTCGCCGCGCTGATGACTGTAAAGGCAGTGACTACAATGAAATGAAAGGCAGCGTCGATCATGTCGTTTGTCAGTCGTCGCCCTCGTCGGGGTTAGGAGTTGTTCGGAGGTTGACGCTTGGGTCAACGGTGTAGCCACTGTTAACATTTTATCACTGTTCTTGATCCCAAGTGGGTAGAGTGTGCAAAGGGTGCATGGGGGTGGTTGATGGCGCCACAAGGTCAAGTACTGGAGTGCATGTGTGCATGAGGCCCCCTTTGCTCGTACTGGCACCAGCACCACACCCCTGGGAGTAGTCATGGCACCTCCCTGCCTCCAACCCAATGATTATTTGATTAGCAAGTGCATGAGCATGCACGAATGAGCCATGCACCTGGGCGTCCTTGTATGGCTTCGCTTCTCTGCCATGTGGGCTAAACTGCCATTGCGCATCGCTCTATGTGTGGCGTTGACCGCCTTGCGCTAGTTGCCATGCATGAAGGCAAGCCGGTTAGCACCAGTAACGTTTGCTCGAAACCCTTGGTATTCCCACAGGCTATTGTGGAGTTGTGAATGGGGCAGCGTCTACGATCTTTAGTAGGGTTTTGGTCGTACACTTGGCGGCATGCCGGCATCGGCTGCCGAGGCCCGGTGGGTGTCTCTGAAATGTCCCAAGATACACTGATGTGTAGGAATGCTTAGGTTAATCCTTGCAATGGCGATAGTAGATCACCCTCGTTCTCGTTAAGCGTTGGCTTTAGCCCAGTAAGCTGAAAGCCAAAGGGCGCCCCGTTCGTACGGTGCTTCTTTGTAATTAGCTATACTTGTGTCAGGCCTACAGTGTTGATCACTAGCTGGCTGCGCAGCCAGGCGTCGACACGTGTTTCCAACGAGGATTCCGCATCAAATACATATATACACACCATTTTGCGATCAATTCTGAGCTTAGAGTACTTCCTGAGTTTCAGTTAGCAGAGGGGGAACGCTGCAAAAATGAAGTTTACACATCAGCTGAAGTTCAACAGCGTCCCGGAATGGCGCGAACATTACATCAATTACACTCACCTGAAGAAATATATCTATGCACTTGCGAAGAAAGAGGCCGACCTGCAAGCTGGGGGCCAGCTGACGGATGAGGAGAACTTATACTCCCCACTCCTTCAGGACGCAACGCGTGCTGAACAGGTACGCTTGCAGTGCGAAACGCGACTAACAGTTTGCGACTAGTCGTGCTTTTTGCAAACCCCCTTCCAAACCCTCCATGCCATTGGCCCAACCGGACAAGCGCGTTGTCAGGGTCCAACGGAAGAGGGCTTTCAGCGGGAGTTGGACGTACAGCTGGCGGCAATCCTGTCCTTCTTCGCCGTGAAAGAGGCGGACCTGCTCGCTAAGGTTTCGGAGCTGGAGCTGGATGTGCAAAGGTCCGTTCGTACGACGAGTAGCAGCAGTACTGCAGCATGGCAGCTAACAGAATGCCAGCCCCCACCCCGCCCCTGCTCCTACCCCTCCTGCTGCCCCTCCCTCCTCCCACCAGCCTGGAGAAGATCCCCAACCGCCAGGAGGCCTCCCTGCTGTCGCGGCTGGGCTCGGAGCCGCCCCCGGGCACTCCCCAGGGGGGGGCAGCTCCAGGGGGCCCGCTGGCGGCCAGCCCCTCCACCCTGGACCTGGCGCGCATGGTGGCCACCACCCCGCCCGAGGTGGGGCGGGGGGGGGAGCGGAGGGGAGGGGAGGGTGCCATCTTTTACAGCACGATGAACGACAGTGGGGAGGGGAGGGAAGGGGTAGGACCGACTGCCGGTATCATTTATAAAAAGAGAGGAGAAGCCGGCATGGAGCGTAGGAGGGACGCCGTTGCTTACGGAGGCCCACCCCCAACTCGACACCCCAACCCCCCTCAGGAGCACCGGCGAGTGCGTGTCAAGTTCTGGGAGAACCCCCCGCGCCACGTGTTCAGCACCAGCAGCCTGCACGCGCGGAGGGCCAAGCTGCAGGGGCGGTTCCAGGTGGGCAGGATGGGGGTGGGGTACGGGGTGGTGGGGGTAAAGGTGAAACAACTTACTGACCGTGTGATAAGGCATCATCCTGGTTTGCAACATGTGAGCCAGCCCGACCCGGGGGGGGTGGTGGCGCGCGGAAGCCAGCTATAGGGGGTGATTACTCCCCATCCCGTGTGTGATTCCCCCCCCTCCCCCCCCTCCCTCCCCCCCCCCCCCTCCCCCCCCCCCAGGACCTGTACATCAGCCTGCACGACCTGCGCGAGTACCTGCACATCAACAAGGAGGGATTCAGGAAGATCATCAAGAAGCATGACAAGGTGGGGGGGGGGAGGGCGTGGGTGAGGGGGGAAAAGGGGAAGAGCTACGGGTTTGTGGTGGGGAAAAAAGAAATTCCAAAGTGTGGTGTGATAATGTTTGTGGTGGGGAGGAGAAAGGGGCTGGGCAGGGGGGCTGAATTAATGGCTGAAGCTAGCCTATCTCAAGCATTTACTTTCCTTGGCCTTGTGTGAGGGACGCAAGAAGCATGCGGAGGACGCAATGATTACACCCGCATCTCCATCTCCATCTCCCACCTGTGCAGCTCCCCCTCCCTAACTGCCGCTCCTCCTGCCCTTCTAACCCCCCCCCCTTCCCCCCTGGAGCTTCTGTTGTGGTTTGCATTCTCATTCAACACGTTGCTGACATTGTGAATTCTCCAATGTCCCCCCTTGCCCTCCCCCCCTTCCCCCATGATGACGCCTTATCACACAGTTAGTTGTTTCCCCTACCCCCCTGCCTCTCTCCCCCCAGCTGACTTACCATTCATGTTCCCTCCCAGCTGACCCGCAGTGTTGACCTCCGCGCCCGCTGGTGGCCCAACGTGGAGGCGCACCTGGCCCCCGCCACCAAGCAGCAGGAGCTGGACCGCGCCATTGCGGCACTCACCGACCACTACGCGGTGCTGTACATGGGGTGAGTGGGCGGGGGGGAGGTGGGAGGGGGGTTGCGGTGGGGGGAAGTGAGATACACTGAGCCGCGAGAAGGACTGAGCCTGAGCGAAGGATACCGGAGGTTGGGGTGGGTGGGGCGAGAGTGAGGGGCGCATCACGGGCTGCCATCACTGTCGCTATAGCAACTGCACCGCCTCCTTCTTTCCCCCTCTCCCCCCCCCCGCGCGCTATTGCTTTGCCCCAACCTGTGGTCTCCTATGGTTTGGTATGGTCTTTCCCCCTCCCTCCCCTCTTCTCTCCCCCCCCCAGCGGCGACGTGTCCCGTGCCTCCGAGGAGCTGTCCCACGGGCTGCGCGAGCACATCACGGTGGAGCGCAACACGGTGTGGCGCGACATGGCGGCCATGGAGCGCAAGTACGCGGCGGTGAGCGTCAAGCAGGCGGCGGGGGCGGCGGGAGCGGGGAGGAGCAGGTAAGGGGGGGGGGACGGGGTGGGGGGGGGGGAAAAGTTAAGTAAGTGAAACAACGAGTCCCAATCCCATATCCCGACTCATGCAGTGAGCGCATTTGGAGGCACTATCCTTGAAGCCCGCAACTCAAATTACTTACCGAATCGTTGCTTACCGTAAACCGAGACGACTTGAGGAAGAAGCCGCCTTGGGGTGGGGGCATGGGGAAAAGAGGAAACAACTAACTGACTGGGGAGGGGTGGGGATTAGGTAAACTGAGCCGCGAGGAAACACTGACGGGGGGTGGGGTGAGGAGGGTGGGTAAGGTAGGGGGGAAAGGGGTCGACATCCGGGGATGTGGCGGGGGGCAGCAGAGAGGCAACATGCACATCATGGGGGAGGGCATGAGGGCGAGACGGCACCCCCCAACATGGCTCCCACCCACCCACCGCCTACCCCCTACCACCGCAGCCACCGCCTACCCCCTACCACCGCAGCCACACAGTCCCCCACCCCCCAACAGCGAGTCGCCCCCCGCTCCCCCGCTAGTTCCCACAGGGTCACAGGGGCACTGCACTGCACTGCACTGGGTTGCAGCCCCTGCTGCTACCCACCCAACAAGACTGACTATACGCAATCCTATAATCCAGCCTAATGCGGAATGATGTGTATCTCTACAAACCCCCTCTCCTCCTCCCCCTCCCCCCCTTCCTCCCCTCCCCCAGCTACATCCGCTGGCTCAAGCTGGCCGCCAGCTGTCTTGTGTTCGCGCTGCTGCTGCATGTGGAGGTGTGGCCGGGCGAGGCCAACCGCCCGCGCAACAACTGCCTGGCGCTGCTGGTGTTTGCGAGCATGCTTTGGTCGCTGGAGGTGGGGGGCAAGGAGGGGGAGGGGGAGAGGAGGGGGAGGGAGATGAATGTTTATTCAAGCTGAACATGATACCCCCGTAACACACCTCACAAAAACACACACGTTGAAGCCCACCTAAAACGCCTCCCTCAACCCCTGTGGTTTGCTATGGTTCGGTATGGTCTTTGACCCCCGCCCCCTCACCCTTCCCCCTCATTTAACACGCTGGGTATTCTCCTTGCTCCCCCCCAGGCCGTCCCCCTGTTCGTGACCAGCATGGGTCTGCCGCTGCTGATCGTGTGTCTGGGGGTGCTGGTGGAGCCCGGTGGCAGCGGGCAGCGGATGACACCGCAGCAGGCGGCACCCGCAATATTCCATGCAATGTTCTCACAGGTGGGGGAGAGGTGGGGGGGGTGGCTGCAGAAGGGGGGGTAGGGAGGGTGGCTGCGAAGAGGGGGAGAGGTGCAGGGGTTTAGGCTGCCCAGCTCTTCTCTCGGTCTGTCCCCCCATGGTTGTTACCTTCTTCCTTATCCACCTCCCGTTCCGTCCGCTGCGACTGAGGGCGGCTCCCGGCCGGCGCACCTCAACCCTGAAGCCCTTCCCTGCCCGCGGCACCTCCCCCCTCACCTCCCCCCTCCGCCCCTACCCTCATCTTCCCCTCCCCCTCCCCATCCTCCCCCATCCGCCCCTTCCTCCCCCCCTTACCTCCCCCCCCCTACCAGACCATCATGTTGTTGTTGGGCGGCTTTGCCATCGCTGCCGCCCTCTCCAAACACGCCATTGCTAAGCAGGTAGGGAGGGGGGAGGGGGAAGTAAAATAAATATGAGAAGTCCAGCAACTGGAGTCCGAGTCCCCTATCCCGACTGAGGGAGAGGGGTGGGCAGGGAGGGAGGCCGGGGGGTCAAAGACCATACCAAACCATAGGAGACAAGAGGGAGGGAGGGAGGCCGAGGGGGGGAAGCTACTAGGCTGGAAGGGCAGGAGGGACTAGGGGGAGAAAGACATGGTTTCCTATGGTTCGACCTATATCTCCCCTCCCTCCCTCACTCCCTCCCCCCAGGCTGCAGTTGCCATCCTGTCCCGAGTGGGTCGCAAGCCCGCGCACGTGCTGCTTGCCGCCATGTTCACCGCCACCTTCGCCTCCATGTGGATCAGCAATGTGGCGGCGCCGGTGCTGTGCTTCGGACTCATACAGCCCATTCTGCGGTAAGAGAGGGGGAGGGAGGGGGAGGAAAATTATATGATAAGTGCAGCAACGGAGGGGAGGGGTGGGGGAGGAGGAACCAGGAGGGGTGGGGGGTGGGGAAGGAGGGAGCCGTGTGACAAGGGGGGCCTTACCGAGGAGGGGTGGCGTGATGGCTGCTGCCAAAACCCAACACACCCAGCCAAAGGGGCGCATGAGGGACGCATGAGGGGCCGGGAGCGGTAGGGCGATGGTGCAAGGGGGGGGGGTCGTTGATGGCGGAGGTAGTGTACATTTGTTGGGATTCCAGTGCTTCATCTGTTGACATCAGTTTTACTTTGCTTTCTTCGTCTGCGCCTCCCCCCTCCCCCACACAGCACCCTGGACCCCGGTCACCCCTTCGCCAAGGCCCTAGTGATGGGTATCGCGCTGGCATCCAATGTGGGCGGCATGACCTCGCCCATCTCCTCGCCGCAGGTGCGTGGAGTGGCGTGTGAGGGCGCGTGTGCTAAAGGAACCTGGCCGCCAAGGAATACGGGTAATAACTGTGTGTTTGTATGTGTGGGGAGGGGAAAGGGGGGGAGGAGGGGAACAGAGAAGTGCCTGCATGTACGCCCCCTGCCCTACCAGCTGCCCTGCCAGCTGCCCCGACTGCCCTCCACGCATGCCGGCTTCACCCTCACCTCCCCTCCTCACGCTCCCCGCCCCTCCTGCCTCCCCCCGCTCACGCTCCCCGCCCCTCCTGCCTCCCCCCGCTCACGCTCCCCGCCCCTCCTGCCTCTCCCCCCTCACGCTCCCCGCCCCTCCTGCCTCTCCCCCTCACGCTCCCCGCCCCTCCTGCCTCCCCCCCCTCACGCTCCCCTCCCCGCCCGCCTCCCCCCCCCTCAGAACATCTTTGCCATCGAGCGCATGTCCATGGACGGCCGCCCGCCCTCCTGGCTCGCCTGGTTCGCAGTGGCGCTGCCCGTGTCCATTGCATGTAGGTGGTGGCAGGGGGTTGGGGAGGTGGGGGTAGGGAGGTGGGGATAGGGGCGCTGAATGGGGGTGGGGTGACGTGGAGGGGGGAGAAGACGAAAGGAGTGGGGTTACCCTTTCGTACAAGCAGGGGTGTCGTGGTCGTGGTTAGCGCGCACTGCCGCATGCAGCTTTCGTCCACTGTGCCATGCTGTGGTCAGTTGGGAAGGGGGTGCGTCACTGGGGCCCTCTTGTCCTCCCTTCCCTCCCACCCACCCCTTCCCTCCCACCCCTCCACCCTGCCCCCCCCCCCCCCCCCCCCACCCCCCCCCCAGGCAACTTCCTGTGCTGGTTCCTGCTGCTGCGGGTGTACCAGCCGGGGCGGGCGATTGCGGAGGTGCGGCCCATCAAACCCAACACAGACCCCGTCAACGGCACGCAGGTGGGAGGTGGGGAGGTGGGGGGGTGGGGGGGTGGGGGTGGGTGGAAGATGTGTCGTTGTGTTGCTGAACCTGCCCTCCTGCGCTTCTCCCCTCCACCCCCCTCTCATTCCCATTCAACACATATTGGGTATTCTTCTTTTCCCCTCTCCCCCCCCCAGGTGTATATCGTGGTGGTGTCGCTGCTGACGGTGGCGGCCTGGTGCGCGAACACATTCCTGCAGAGGTGCGTGCGTCCGGGGGTTCCCCCGACACACTTCCTGCGTCACCACCCTCACCCGTAGGCGCGCACGCGAGGCCCGCCCTGCAAACCTCCCTCCCCCCCTCCCTCCCCCCTCCCTCCCCCCTCCTTCCCAGGTACACCGGCGAGATGGGTGTGATAGCGGTGGTGCCGCTGGTGGCGTTCTTCGGCTTCGACGTGCTCAACAAGGACGACTTCAACTCCTTTCTGTGGAACGTGGTGATGCTGGCCATGGGGGGGCTGTCGCTGGGTGAGACAAGGGGGCGCGGGAGGGAGGGAGGGGCGAGGGAGGAGGGTGGCCATCTTGCTGCGGAATTCGGGTCAGTGTTTGTTTCCTCGCAGCATTTGCGAAACACCCACCAATCATTCCGCACCCCTCCACCTGCACAACCCGGCTGCTGCTGCTGCTGCTGCCGCTGCAACCGCTGCCTCCCCCCCTCCCAACCCATGATGAAGCCTAGTCACACAGCTCGTCAGTTTCCTTTTTTTCACCCCTCCCCTCCCCCCCTCTCCCCCCTCCCCTCTCTTGGCCCCCAGGCGAGGCAGTCAAGAGCAGCGGGCTGCTTGAGGCGCTGGCGCACGACATCAGCGACCTGGTCACGGGGCTCAGCCTGTGGCAGGTGGCGCTCATATTCTCAGGACTGGTGGGTGGGGGGTGGCCGGGGTGGGTGGGAGGTGGGTGGCCGGGGTGGAGGTGAGGTGTTGTACGTTTGGGAGGGAAGCAGGGAAGTGGCAGGGCGAGGGTGTACGGTAGTGTGAGCGGTTGAGTTGGCTTTCTTGGGAATGGCCGAGGATTGGGACCCTAGTTGCCTTTCCCTATCCCTCCCTCCCCTCCCCCCTCTTCACCCCTCCTCCTGAATCGGTACCGGTGATGACCGCGAACCCTCACATCGACTTGTGGCGCCCTGCCGCCTTCCGCCACCGTTGCTTTACCCTAACCTGTGGTTTCCTGTGATCTGGTTTATATTCCCCCCTGTCCCCCCCCCTCCTCTCTTTACCCCCCCCCCTCTCTGTCAGGTGCTTGTGGCCACCACCTTCATCAGCCACACGGTGGGCGCCATGGTGATCCTGCCCATCGTACAGTCGGTGGGGGAGGCCATGGCGGGGGGGCACCCGCACCCCAAGCTGCTGGTCATGGCGGCAGCGCTCATGTGCTCGGGTGGGGGGGGGGGTGAAAATAAGGAAACTGACAAGGGGGGATGGGGGGATGGGGGGATGGGGGAGGGAGAGATTAGCCAACCATATGGGTAGGTGGGGTGGGTGGGGGGTGGGTGGAGGGGCCGGGAACAAGGGGATGGGATGCAGGGGGCGGAAGTGAGCGCCTAGCACCTACCACACCCCACCATCCTTTCCATTTCCCCTGCCCTCCGCAGTTGCTTGACTTCTCATTCATTCCCCCCCCCTCTCCCCCCTCCCCCTCTCCCCCCAGGTGCCATGGGCCTGCCCGTGAGCGGATTCCCCAACATGAACGCAGTCAGCATCGAGGACGCCACGGGGAACGCCATCGTCAACACGGCGGACTTCCTGAGGGTGGGGGTGCCCTCCAGCATTGCGGCGTACGGCATCATCGTGAGTGTGGGGTACGTGCTGATGCTGGCGGTGGGGTTCTGAGGGGGGGAGGGAGGGGGAGGAGGAGGGAGGAGGGGGAATGGCATTGTAGCGGTTAATTGAAACTGGCTGAAGCGGGCTGTGGCGTGAAAGGGAAGGATAGGAATACAGCAGAAGAGAGGACATCGCAAATTGAGACGAAGACGAGGAGGGCCACGGATGGTGGTGATGGTAGGTGGTGGATGGGGTTCACGATGTGCTGTGGAGCTTGATAACTAAGCAGGCTGAGCGCGGGGATGTGTGGCTGGGTGAGGAGGGTATCAGGTTGTGGTTAGCCATGTACGCGCGCGCCGAAGTGTGAGTGGGCCGGTGTGGAGGAAGGGTTTGTGAGTGCTGAATACGCGTGGGGACCGGGAGGGGCGGGTGCTGCTGTGGTAGCTCTGCGGTGTAGAACGGCAAGGGGAGCAGCGTTTGCGGGGCTCAGCGACCCGTAGAGCCCTCAGGGGGAGGTCGTCTGGAGTACGGGTAGTGGTCGCGGCTGCTGCTGCAGCAGTACTGGCTGGGCTGGAGCGTGCGTTGGGCTTGCTACTTGGTTTGGCTGGGTCGGGGCGTAAGGGCGGAAGGAAAGATAACGGAAGGAGGGGAATTAGGTGCCGCAGCAGCGAAATGTAGACAGAGAGGAGCAAGTCGAGACACGTACAGGGCAAAGGAGAGAGTGATTCTTTAAAGTAAACTGCTGGGGCCAGGGGCTGTAGTGGGCTGTGCGGCTATAGAGGCTTGCCTCGATGCGGTACGGGGCACGTGAGGCCAAAAGGGTCACATACCCTCAACTCTCATTTATTATTCGACTTCTCCACCATGTTCCTTGTAAGACATGCATGCCATGTGAGTGCGCTGGCGGGTATCTCCTTTAACGGCGCTGCTGCTGCTGCTGCTCTGGCGGTCAAAGTGCGTCTTGTTAAACAGGCATCGTCTTATCACGCGGTCAGTTCCTTGTTTCCTCTTTACCCCTCCATCGCCACCACCACCACCACATCCTACCACGGCTACCAGCCACACACCGCCTTACTTCATCCTCCCTTCTACCTCGCTTCTTCCACTTCTTCTTCCTTCCTCTCCTACCGGTAGTTATTCGGCCGCGTCACAAACGCGCGCTGCTGCTGACTGCCCGGGTGCAGCGCCTGCACCTGCACCGGCTTGCCGCCCTCGCCCGCACCCCCCGGCCTGCACACGCTGCCTCCCTGGTTGTAATAATTAATAATCCCGCCGCAAATATTATACACCGTGATCCGCAGCGCATCACTCAGCAGCAACGCCGCCACGCCCCCCAGCTCCCCCGTGCTGCAGTACGCGGCAACCACCGGCGGCTGCGCGGTGGGTTGCGCCGCAGCCGTCACCGCCGCCAGCGCCTCCCGTACCTTGGCGACTGCAGGCGCGGGGCCGCCAGCCAGGGAGTAGCCCCAAGTGGCGGCGGGTGCGGGCTGCAGGGCCAGGGGCAGGGCACCCGGCATGACTGAGACGGCTCGTTCCTCGTCGGGCCGCACGTCTAGGAGCACCAGCGGCTGGCGGCTGCTGAGCTTGTCCAGCACGATACTGGTGGAGAGCTGGGGGGACAGGGGAGGAGAGCGCAGAGAGGGGAAGTGAGGGGAAGGGGAGGGGAAAGGGTAATCACGGTGTTTGGGGTGGTAGCGCGGGTTTGCTGTCCATCCAGGCGGTGCCTGTCGCAGCCCCCCTGCATCCCTCAAGTCCCCACTCGGCGCCCCATTCCCCTTCCCCACCCCTCTGGGGCCGGATCCAATAAGCAACCCCATGATGAAGCCTCGTCATACAGCTTGTTCGTTTCCATTATTTCTCCCCTCCCCCCCCCACCGCTAACCCATACTTGTTTTTGTGGCACCCTGCCGCTCCTATCCCCATTGTCTTGCCCCAACCTGTGGCTTCCTATGGTTCGGTATGGTCTTTGACCCCCCACCTGCGCCGCCACCCCATGCGTGCGCAGCCCCCTCACGAACTCCGCAAGCGCCGGCGGCTCCACCTCGTTTGCGGGGTCGGCGCCCCCCCGCAGGTGCATCATGCGCTGCACCATGTCGTCCAGCGCCGCCTCGCTGTCCACGTGGCCCAGCAGGGAGGACAGCGCGGTCACAAACTCCTCAGCACTCACCTGGGGGAGGTGGGGGGGGGGGGGGGGGGGGGGGGGAAATGGGGGGGGGTGCAGCACAAGGGGGGAATGCAGCGCCGGGAGGGAGGGGGGTGCGTCAAAGATAAGTGGCCCGGTTATAGGAAACCGTAAGTTAGCAAAGCGTTGGGAACAGAGGTTGTGAGCAGGGAGGGGCCCGGGAAGCACAGGGAAGCACATGAGGCGTTAGAGGCGTTGGGTTCAAGCAAGGAATGTGGGAATGGTGGAGGTACCGGAAGCCTGCGTGTAAGTAGTCAGACTGTCGTTAATACGCCTGTATCATTGTGAAAGCGAGGTAGCGGGTGGGCCGCAGGGCTGCCGACCCATGGGTCTGTACCGTGTCCGAGTGGTCTCGGTCCATGTAGTCCAGGGAGGCCGACACCGTCTCCTCCGTCACGTCCGGGTCCATGCGCTGAGCCATGGCCTGTGAGGGGGAAGGGGGGGGGGAGAGGGGGAGCAGGGGGACGGGCGGAGGGGAGAAGGGGGAGCAGGAGGGGGCATCTGAGGACAGCGTGCATTTGGGAGAGACAGGATGAGGAAGGCGGGTAGAGGGGGACATGGGCATGACTAGGCAAATGCGCACTGGGCAAGTAAGGGTGTCAGTAAGGACAGGAGAGAAGAGTGGACAGCTACCCGGTAGGCACTTTGGGTGGGTGGGTTGGGGGGGCTGAGTACAGATGCAGTCGCTCCAGCACTTTGGAACACCCCAAACCCCGGAAAACCCAAAACCACCTCTCCCCGCCCCACATGCCCGACACTTGCACGCCACTTGTTGCCTTGTGTGGGTGTGTCTTTGTGTGTTTTGCATGCCTCCTAGCACGTCACCCGCCCCCCCCCTCACGCCGCCACCAGCCCCCATGTGCGCCCTGCCGCCACCAGCCCCTCCCCACCCAGCTGGAACATAGGTCCTAACAGAAGCAGCGCGGTCTCCCTTTTTCAGGGCTCTTACATTGCCTTGCTACACAGGGCTAGTCAGTCTCTTTCCCCTCACCTACCCAGCACCATCCGATGCATGCCACATCAGGATACCCCCCACCTTGAGTTCGTTGAAGGTGAGTGCGCCCGAGTGGTCCAGGTCCAGCGAGTGGAACAGGTACCTGCGGGGGGGGGGTAAAGAGGAAACAACTAACTGACCTTGTGATAAAGGGGAGAGGGGGAGGAGCATGTGGCGGTACGACACTAGCACATGACGTGACGTGACGTGACATGACAGGACAGGACACGGGCGGGGGGCGGGCGGGGGGGTTGATGTGCATACAGGGTTACGGGGCGGGTTACCCTTCCCCTTGACCCCCTCCCCCACCCCAGCCCGCACACAATGCAGATACGCGGCGTACTAGGTGCTTCATCCCCCCCCCCTCCACTCCAATTCAACGCATGGTTTGCTTCTATTATCTCTCTTCCTCCCCCCCTATTCTATCACCTTTGCTTTGGCCCTAACCTAGTGGCTTCCTATGGTATGGTATGGTCTCTTCCCCCCTACCTGAACTTGTCGGCCCGGCTCCTGCAGTACCTCCAGTCCCGCTGCGCCGCCACCACTCGGGCTGCCTCGTCGAACTCGGCGTCACTCAGGAGGGAGGTCTGGGGGAGGGAGGAAGGGGGGGGTCAGGGTTAGGAAGGGTGTCCCAACTCAAACACAGTACACCGCAGTACGCTTCTCCTCGCGGCCAGTTTCTAAACATACACGCATCTGCGTCAAGATGCCTGCACCCATCCCTCCCCCTCAACCATCAGTTTCCTTATATTTACCCTCCAACCCACACGGTTTGTTAGTTTTTTTCTTTTTACCCCCCCTTTACCTCCCCCTTACCATCTGCGTGAGCGCCTGCTCAAACTCCACCGCATCCACCACCGAGTCCAGCGGGTGGATGCCCAGCGCCGCCAGCACGGGGTCGATAACGTCCCGCGGGTCGGTCACCCCACCCGCCCCCTCCGCGAAAATCAGCTCGGCGATGGACACCAGGTTGTGGGCGGGGATGGAGCTGCAGCCAGGGGGGGGGATGGAGGGGAGGGTAATAAGACACGCACACACAAACACCAGTACGTTCCTACTCGCGGCCAGTTTTCTTAAAACACAAACACCGTGTGTATTTTTGACAACTTGGAATGTAATGAAACGATAGGCACAAAACACAGTGCTGGGGGGAGGGAAAGGGGGGGGAGAACGGAGAAGGGAGGGGAGGGCTGCATAGAAGGAGGTGGGGAACGGAAACGAAACACACACATCCCCCAGCCTTCCCCCCTCCCCCAGCGTTTCACCCCGCCCTCCCTGCCCGGCCTTCCCATGCTCTCTCACCCGCTGGCATTGGTATCGATCTGGCTGAATATGTACGCCAGCTTCTCCTCCCGACTCATCGCCTCCAGCCGCTTCGCCGACCCCTCGCCGCCCGCGCCCTCGCCCTCGCCCTCCCCCCCTCCCGCCCCCCCCTCCGAGCCCCGCCGCGGGGGGGCAGTGGCAGCCGCCTCCAGCCAGCCCGCCAGCCAGCGCATGGGGGAGAAGGGGCGCCAGCCGCGGGGCATGTGCACGCCCTCGTCCCAGGGGATACCCGTGGCGAGCTGGGGGGGGGGGGGGGGTTTGAGGAGGTGGGGGTTGAGGAGGGAAGAAGTGAGGAGGGGTGGGTGTGGGGTGCGGAGGTCCACCTCAGCTCAGCTATGTTTGTGCGTGTGTGGGGCAGGGTGGGGGCTACGCATGTACCTTCTTTTCCCTGCCCCCTCTTCCTCTCCTGCCCCTCCCTGTGGTGTGGTTGTTTACCATTATCACACTACACATTGGAGTTTCTTGTTTCCCCTGCCCCCCCTCCCTCCCCCCACTCACGTCCAGCGCGTCCCGCTCCACCTCCCGCACCAGCGCCAGCAGCCCGCCCCGCAGCACCGGTACCACCTCCGACAACAGCCAGGAGCGGCAACCTGGGGGGAGTGGGGGCAGTGGGGGGGTGGGTGGGAAGATATTGGGTTGAGAGTCTGAGATGATGGGTGGGAGGAGACCAAAGGTGCGAAATGAACGACAAGGAGAGGCGGAGAAAGTCGATCCTTTTACACACGTCTCCAACAACGCTCCTTCCTCCCTCCCCCCCCCCTCCCGCCTCCCCCTTCCCCCCCCCCCCCCCCCCCCCCCCCCCCTTCCCCCTCCCTCCCCCCCTCCTACCATGCGGGTGGCGGTAGTCCTCCTCGTAGAGCGCCTCGAAGCCCTTGCGCGCCAACCGGCTTACGAAGGCCTGAGGAGGAAAGGGCAGTTAGGGAGTTAGGGGGGGCGGGAGGCTAAAGAGAAAACCAGCTATGTGGGAGGTGAGCTAGAACCGTCTCCGACGGGCACCCCCTCCCCCGGTTGCCACTGTCCTCTTATTAACCCCAGGAAAGCAAGAGGAGACATGGAGCTCGGAGGACCCAACGTCGGGTTCTTCCTCTCTACTCCCCCTCCCATATCCCCCTGTTGCTCTCTTTCTCTTCAGCCCCCCCCACCTCCTCTCCCTCCCTTTCCCTACAGTCCAGCCAAATACGGGATTTCCTACCTCTACTTACCTCCTCCCCTCCCCTCCTCCTCTCATCCCCCTCCCCCCCACCTTGAACTCCCGGTCGTCCATCTGCTGCGCCAGGAATCCAAACACTGCCAGGAACTCCTCGCACGACACGCGGTCGTCGCTGTTGGTGTCGAACATGCGCAGGGTGCCGTGCGCGCGGTGGAGCGACTCCTGGGGGGGAGAGGGGGGGATGAAGGGGGGACAGGAACACAAACAGGAGGGAAGAAATTATTATTGGGCAGGTCACTGGTGACCCCACCGCAGTAACTCCTCTTTAAACGCGCTCGGTCGTCCGCGGCTCCGTGCTTGCATGCACTCCTCTCTCTCAAGCACCCCTAGCAGCCGCTGTCGTCCCGGTTACCCATCTCCCCCTGCCCGCCCTCCTCAGCTCCCGGCCCCATGCACAGGCCCCCCCTTTTATGGTAGCAGCCATTAACCTGTTCTCCCTGCCTGCAGCCCTCCCTCCCCTCCCTCCCCTACTCCCCTCCCCCTCTCCCCCTCACCGCGGGCGCCACTCGGCCCACCAGGGTGCGCAACTCGTGCATCTCAATGTAGCTGAGGATGGGGGAGGGGTTGGGGGTTGGCGGGGTGGAGGGAGGAGGGGTAATGGGCAAGTAGTGAGCTACTCGCACCCAGGGTCGGGGAGAAGGGGGATGGACGGGGTGTGTGTGTGCATTGCTCGGGCTCACACACCTCCGTCTCCTCCTCCTCCTGCACCGGCTATCTGTTCCTAGACTCCCAACTCCTTTCTCGAAGCAGCCGGAGGAGGAATGCAGGCATGGAGGAAAGTAGCAGTGCACTGCTCTGTCTCCTCCCCCGCCAATGCACCAGCCAGCCAGCACACATCCCACCTCCGCTTGGCTGCCCCCGCCCCCTTCCACACGCCGAGTGGTCCTCCGCCCCTCCCTCCCGGCCCCCTCCGCCCCCCTCACCCCGACTTGTCCCGGTCCAGCTTTTGAAACACGCGGCGCAGCATTTCCTCGCGACTGAGGGAGGCGCCTGGGTGGCAGCCGGGAGGGAGGGAGGGGATGTGGGGGGGTACAGAACGAGAAGCAGGAGGGGAGCCGGCGAGTGCGTAGGAGGGTGAGGAGGGGGCACCGTGCAGGGAGGAAGGTGTGGGAATCCGCACTAGCGACAGCACTAGCACAGGTATCCCCGCACCACCTTGCCTTACGGCTACTTGCTGATCGTTTCTCCCTCTTAACACCCCCTCTCCTCCTCTCCCACCTCCCTCCCTCGAATCCATTCCCGTAGGGCTTGTCACCTACTTTGCCATTATCAACCAATTAACACACTGGGTACCCTTCCTATCCTTCTTAGTTGTTTCCTCTTCACCCCTCCCCCCCTGCCCACCCGCTTGCTGGCGCATGTCGCCCACAAGCGCATCGAACTCCGGGTCGCCCATCTGGGCACCGATGAACTCAAACACCTTGGGGAGGGAGAGGAGGAAGGAAGCGGGGGGGTGGGGGTGGTGGGGCTGTTGGGGAGGGGCGAGAGCGAGAGGGGTGGGGTTGTTGGGGAGGGGGAGGGCGGGAAGCCGGGGTGGAGCGAGGGCTGGGCTCCCGGCCTCTGCTAGCGTGAGGCAGGGGGCTTGAGGGAGGGCAACACAGAGGAAGGAAAAGGGCAGGCGGTAACCTGCAGGTAGGCGAGGTACAGGAGCACATGTTAGGCAGGAACGTGTTGGGAGTAGGAAAACCAAAAGCTGTGTCGAAGGGGGGGGCTCTCCTCTGTGTTCAGTGTTGTAGAGGTACATCTGCCGTACACATCCGCCCAAATCTGTCGTACACACGCCACATCTGTTCCCGGTCGTACGGCACGGCACACCTGCACGAACTCCTGCGCCGACACCCTGCGGTCGCCGTTCACATCCAGCAGGGCCAGCGTCTCCAGGGCCTCATCCATGCGACCCTAGGGGGGAGAGGGGAGAGGGGAGGGGGGGAGAGGGGAGGGGGGGAGAGGGGAGGGCGGGAGAGGGGAGGGCGGGAGAGGGGAGGGCGGGAGAGGGGAGGGCGGGAGAGGGGAGGGCGGGAGAGGGAGGTTAAGGGTAGGAAAGGGGAAAAAGGTGAGGAGGCAACCAAGGAGGCAGGCGGTTTAAGGTTACTGAAAAGGAAGCTTGTCCATGCGTGGTCCTGGAGGTGGGATACCGCAGAAGGATGGGCGTCCTTCTAGGGTTTGGGTTAAGAGACAGGCATGCTGCGAAGGAGAGGAGAAAAACCGGGTGGCTCGATGGATGACGTAGGGTAAGGAAAGGGGAGCGTGGGAAAGGAAGCGGCGTGTACGGCAGCTTGTCAACAAGAAGTGCAGCAGCAAGGGGAGGCAACGCAGGCGGGCGCGTGTAACAGTAACCGTGCGCCGGTGCCAGCTGCAGACCGGGTCAGACACGGCAACGCTTGACCAGAGGTTAAATGTAACGCGAGTAGGAGCAGCTGCAACTTACATGGGCCATGCCCACATGCAGGGCAGGGGACAGCAAGCCCCAGGGGGTCGCATTGTGGCCTAGGAGGCACTGGTTACCCCCCGGGGGGTGGAGGGGCGCGGTCACCCCTGGGAGTTACTCGGCGCGTGGCCTACCGGTATTAACCGGCGTGCCGCGTGGAGGGGAAGGGAGAACTGTGGCTTACCTCTGCCGTTGGGTTGTTGGACAAGGCCCTGAGCTCCCTTTGCTCCACGTAGCTGCAATGGGAGAGAGTGAAAGCTGTTGTTGATGATAGGGGGTGTTGGTGTAATGCTATCGGCGCGGGAGCCGTGTGATGTCGGACTTCATTGGCCATGCGGTGGTTCGTTGGGTCGGTCTGTCCTGCTCACCCATTCCCGTTGTCGTCGAAGAGGCTGAAAACCTCTAGCAATGATTCCTTGCGATTCATTATGGCTGACAGTCGCTTGGTCTGCAAAATGTCACCCCCTTAGAAGTAGAGGTGCAGTTTTAGACGATTTCATTATACTATTCTGCCACAACACAATAATAATTGACTCATTAAAGGAACAGTAATTTCCCCTTGTTAGATCGATGGAAGTATCAAAGAAGCCTGACAGAGAAATAAAGTAAGCGGAAGGGTTATGCAATAAGTTGAATCCCTAGACACAACAACGCCAATAAGGAAACTTTCAACCTTGGCATTTGCGCACGAAGTGCTAGTTCACCTGCATGTGTAAAGTACGGAAACCACTTTTAACTGGAGACGAGCTCTATACAGCTTGGATCCACAGCTTGCTTGCGGTCGCGCTTCCAAGCATTAATTTCGAAAGCTAGATCATTTCCAGCTTACAGGCTTTAACAGTTCACGCCGGCACGCTGCCAACGATGGGGTTGCTTAGTTACCTATTTAGCTTTGGGAAGACAGAGAAAACATGCGATAACTGTGTCAAGTCATTCGCACAGGTGCATTCCGTTCTGACTTTGCTCAATTGCCAACTGCGCTGTTGCGTTCAACTGTGTCCACCTTTTTACGGCTTAAGCTGACAGCCGCGTTGGCGATTCCTGTAGATGTGGGCCACCTATAACAACCGCGATGACGCCGTTCCAGGCGACGATGCTTATCGTCCCCATACATCTCCTCTCCCAACGACTGTGCCTGCTGCGGAGCGGCTTGTAGCCATCGGGGATATCCACGGTGACTACAATAAAGCAGTTCGCGCCTTTCGCCTTGCTGGCCTAACCGACGAAAAGGGCAGGTGGTGTGGCGGGAGCACGGTGGCGGTGCAGGTGGGCGCATGCCGGCATATCGTGTTTGCTTCCCTGCTGCGATGCGCTTCAGGACTAGGAAGCTAAGCTAGGCACGAGGTCTTTGCCTTACCTCACCCACGAGCAGCTTGTGAACTAAGCCTTCCGGTCAAACCCTAGTCAACGTAAGACCTCCATAGACATGTCAGGCTGTGTCAGAGACCACTTATACCCGCCGTATCTGGCAACCACTCATCAAACTCCAAACATGCCGCGCCTGTACTTCCACTTTTCCTTCACACCCATCTGGCCCTAAAGTAACTTCCTTGCACCAAATCGTTCCCTACATCCCTCATTCACCCTTCCAACCCGCCCATTCTGGACGCCGTCCGCCCTCCTTCCCAACACTCTCCCAAAGCATAATGCTTCTTATATCGGTTTTGAATTTAAACAATAATTTCCGCAGGTTGGCGACATTTTGGATCGCGGCGACCACGAAATCCGCATCCTGGTCATGTTGGAGCGGCTGGCTGGCGAGGCGGCTGCTGCGGGCGGGCGGCTGTACCTGCTCAACGGCAACCATGAAACCATGAACGTCATGGGGGACCACCGATACGCCACTCCGGGTGGGTGGGTAAAAGGGAGCTGTATGACAAGGCTTCACTCGGGGTGGGTGGGTGGGTGGGTAGCAGGCGGAGCTGCCGACCTCCTCCGCGTCCCCATCCCTCCGGCATTCCTCCCTTCATGCGCGCCCCCCTCCTGCCCCCTACCCCCTCCTCCTCCCAGGTGCCAATCTGGAGGTGTTGGGTTTCTCCACCTGGCGGGACTTCTGCGCGCTCATGAAGACCCGCAGCGGCTGCCAGGGGCAGGCGGACCCGCTGCAGGTGGGGGGAGCGGAGGGGAGGGGAGAGGGCAGAGCGGGGTTGCGGGGCGGGGCATGGGGGGGCCAGGAAACAGGGACAGCGGGCCTCTGCTGCAGGTGGGTGGGAAAGGAAGGCGCCGGGGTGTTGGGTTCATCCCAGGTAGGTGGAGGGCTACTGCCCGTGTTGGAGGGGTGTAGGGCCCGCAGCAGGGGTCAGGGCATGCATGCAAGGCGGATGGTGCGGTAGGGCCGGTTCCGGGGGTGCCGCCGAGGTGGTGTTGTCTCCCAATCCCCGCCCCGCAGGAGCGCCGCGACGCTGCGTTGCTCGCCTCCAGCTCCTCCCACCCCGCCGCCCACATGGCCCGAATGGCGCCGTACAACTGGCTGCGCACCCGCGCGCTGCAGCCGGGGGGCGAGCTGGCGCGGAGGTTCTTCGCGGCGCGACCCACCGTGCTGCAGGTGTGTTAAAATAACTGGCTGCAGGTGTGTTGAAATAACTGCAGGTGTGTGTGTGTGTAGTTGAGTAGGACAGGAGCAAGCAATGGGGAGAGGTTCGCATGTGAACCGCGAGTACAGGCAAAACAAAGTTGACCGAACCTGAACCGTAATACAGAAACCTGCTTAAATGGCTGTTGCTGGATGTAAGAAGAGTGGCGAGTGATGAGTGACGACGCATGTCGGTGATGCTGATGGTGTCGGAATAAACTAAAATACTACCGAGAACTAAAGTCCGCTGACCAAAGCTCGACGCCGGGAGCCCCCGCTCTGGACACGCAGACGAGACACCACAATGCTGTGCATGCGTGCGTGCATACGCGCATTGCGTACCTGCGAGCAAAGACGCCGTAGTCAGCACCAGAACCAGCAGCCGCAGTAATGCGAGTAATGCCATGCGCAGAAGCATGAACCAGAGCGAGGAAAGGGGGACAGAGTTAGAGACAAAATGAACCTATATCTAAGTGCGAAATGTACGGCAAAACAGGATGGCATGCGATACAGGACGAAAAACAAGCACAGCACAACATGAATGCAAATGCAGAAGACAAAAACAAACACAACCGGCGTGAGTGGTCGAGCAGACGCTGAGCTGTGGCTGCAGCGGTCAGCTGAACCGCACTGAGAAGTAGCGTTGTCTAAAAACAAGACGACGGTAGCGTTGTCTAGGAGCAAGCTGACGGTGCAATGGTATGCGTGCAGCGAACAGGCAAAGGCCAGCAGAGGGGCACGGCCGTGTGGGATGCGGTGCAGTGCAGTGGGGAGTGACCGGGCTCGAAGGAGAGCACCCCAGATGCTTACATGCCACAGGGCAAAGCAAAAGCGGCAGGGCCGCAACAAACCCCCCAAAACCCCCCGAAAAACAAAAACAGCACCACAACAAAGACCAACGACCACAACGACCACAACAAAACCCCGCCCCTCTCCCAAGCCCGAGACGACCTAAAAATCCCGACCCTGCAGGTGTGTGTGTGTGTGTGTGTGGTGGTGACCCATGGGTCGGGCTACGGAAGCGACTCCCCAACCTTCCCTCGCTGCTGCCTTGCACCCAGAACTGCCGCTATCGCTGACGGCATGAGACTTCTTCTTCGTTTCGCTCGCTCCTCCCCCACCTTAGCTGGTGTGGTAGCGCACAATGCCGGTACCACCCTTGGTTGCCCGGCAGTTGTAGACCCCATCCCTCTTTAGTCGGCTGTGTTGCGGGTCATCATACGATAATAAGGCCCTCGGCTGTGCCAGCTCTTGTAACAAGTTGTCAAGGAGGCACTACCTACTGGTTATAGTACCACTACGACAACATATATCCCTAACACCATGGGTATTCCATGTCCTCTCACCTGCTCCCCTTCTTTGCCCTCTTTTCCCCTCCTACCCCTCTTTCCCTGCCAGGTGGGCGATAACCTGTTCGCGCACGGCGGGGTGCTGCCCTCCCATGTGGCGTACGGACTGGAGCGGATCAACAAGTGAGCGGGTTGTGGGGGAACCCTGCGGACAGCGGGAAGGGGGAGGCTGCTGGTTGATGGGGTGTCGAGCATGGGGCTTTCATACTCGGTGTGCAAAGCAGGGTGTGCATAACGGGAGCGGAAGGTGATGAGGGTGGTGGGATCAGGATGGGTCGGCCAGCGAGCAAGGATACACTAGAGCATGCAAGGGCGTCGGTGTACAGGGCCGTCAACCCCACATGACCCTCCCCTCCCGCCCCCTCTCGCTTCCCTCCTCAGGGAGACACAGGCATGGATGCTGGGGCGTGAGGCCGACGGCACACCCGCCGCCTCCTCCTCATCGCCTGCCGCCTCCGCCGCCGCTCTGGCCTACCGCGCGCCCGTCTTCCTGCGCGGTGGCAACGCAATCGTGTGGGCTCGCGCCTTCTCCGCCTCGGATGAGCGCCGCTGCGACTGCAGCACCCTGCAACGAGTGCTGGAGGTAGGGCAGGGGAGAGTGGGTTTGGGAGTGAGGCGCACACAAGGCGTGTGTCTCTACCTGGTTGCGTTTCTCTACGACATGAACCCCCGTCCTCGCCCTGTTTGCTGTCTGCATGTCTCCAATCTGTGCCACTCGCTCTGCTACCTCTCCCCTTCCGTTGGGACTCCGTTGCTTTACTTTCACGCCACATTCACTTTCCCCCTCCGCTCCACCCACATGGCTAATGCTCCCTCCCCTCCTCCCCCAGTCCGTCCCGGGTGCCTCCCGCATGGTGGTGGGTCACACCATCCAGACCCGCGGCATCAACAGCGCATGCGAGGCGCGCGTGATCCGGGTGGATGTGGGCATGTCGCATGGCTGCGGGGACGGTCCGGTGGAGGTGCTGGAGGTGCTGAGGGACGGGCAGGTGGGTAATGGGTGGGGTAGGGGGTGCCAGGGTGGTGGTGTCTGGGTGGTGTCTTCTGGTGTGGTGGGGGAGAAGTATTACTTGCAGGCCCAGTTGTGATTCGACAGCTGCGAGGGCAGTGGCATTGAGGGGGAAAGAGAAAAAGAGAAACGTTTGGTAGACGTTGTTGGTCGCTGCTCTTGCTTGCCTCAGGCCTTTGGAGATTTTGTTGTCCATATCGGGCACGTGATGATGACACCCTCCATGCAGCTAGGGTTGATGGTAGTGGTCCCATCCTCCTCTCCATCCCCTCCTGGCCCCTGCAGGTACGTCGGTTGCGGGAGCACGGCCCGGCGGTACCGGTGGGTCCTCTGCCGCCTCGCCACCCGCACCCTGCCCACCACATGCCGCAACACCAGCAGCATGGACACCAGGGAGGGGCCGGCAAGGAGGCGGCAGCGGCTGGGGGGCAGCGGCCGGTGGCAATGGGGGCGGGGGCGGCGTCCACGGCAGCATGAGGCAGACGGAGGGAATGGTGTTGAAACAATAGGGCCGAGGTGTCAAAACACGTACTGAACGTGATTTGAGGGAAACTGGAAGAGTGATGGCGTCGTCCAACGGAAGATGTGAGGGTGGGGAAGAGTGCGTAGGTGGGCAGGGAGGCATGGGTGAGGTTGGAGGAGAGGGAGCAGTGGGGTTGAGAGAGTGCGTGGCTGAGGGGGGGGGGTTATGGCCTGTAGAGTGGATCGTAGGTAGGGTGGTGGAGATGGGCGAGGAGGTACGGTATGTGGTAACGAAAAAACGAAACGAACAAACACTGTGAATGGGGTGGCGACGGAAGGCCGTAGGAGGCTAGGGCTGGGCGCGAAAGAGACTATAATATGCGCTGCATGAAAAAAGACGGTAGGTAATTCTTTTGAGGAACTGGGTGCCAAGCAAGGACTTATTGCGGGGCTTGATGCACTCAACGCTGGCAGGTGATGTTAGGAGACGGGCAGCGGTAGAGCGTATGGGGCAGCGGAAACGTGTTTGGGGCAAGGAGAAGGCCATTAACGATCGAATCAGCGGGCTTTACCGGTCCTGATTGCATTGCCAGGGAAGGGAACGTACGGGGCCGCACCGCAGACGTGCGGGCATGTGCTTGCCGCGTTGATTGCCCCCGCACTTCACGTCATCACTATCCCCTTTGGCCCGTACACACTGCTGTACGTTCCTACTCGCGGCCAGTTTTCTTAACACTGTACACGCACGCTTAACTGTACGGTTGAATGCCGGTCCTGAGGCCCCCTGGAGTGTTGCATGCATGCGGTGGCGGTGGCGGTGGTGGGGTGGACACGGTGGACAACCGCACTGCTGAATGTTCCGCTGCTGCCACCTCCTCGCTTGGGCAATACCGGTAAGCAACTGGGCCGCCTATCGTACATGTGACTGATCATCGCGCAGCAAGGATTTCAGGGAATCTGTTAGTATTTATTAAGGTTTCAATGCTGTACGGCCGGAGAATGTGTACGGCAAAGTGGGTAGATGGGCGGGTCCGAGGGTACCTTCCAGAAACATTCAGCATGGGGTTTGTGGAAAAATTCTTACCAACCCCTGTTACTGTCAAAAATGTTCTCTTCTGTCCCCTCCTGCTCCATTGCTCTGCTTTTGAATGTTAGTCATGTCAACTTAAGGCTCTTCGGCTACTACTCCCACGGCTGCGCGTAGCAGAAAATAAATGCTTATTAAGACGCCTGCGCGTTAGTAAGAAAAAAATCCTTACAGGGCTGCGCGTTTGGAAATAATTATCCCTGAAATTAATGCTGCGCGATGATCAGGCACAGCTACGGCAGTTCGGCTTGCGTGCATTTGCCGGTATTGCTTTGCAATGTGTGTGCTCCCACGAACACACACATTGGCTGCTTGGGCATTGTTACAATAACATAATGAGTATTCCGCATGCACGCACTGCTGCGACAACAATTATTAAGGCAAGAAACGCTGTCTACAGCTGAGCGGCAACCCACGATGTATAACGGCATGATAGGTGTAGCATGCATGAGGCGGGGGAAACGGACATGTGCTCTGCACGCAGTGCCCTTTGGAACTTGCTAGCGCTGCTGGTAGCAGCAGTACAGTCCGGCTGCGGTTGACCGTACGAGCGAGAAACTAACTTAGTGCTGTGTTTTGGTAACTGAGCCGCGCGCGTAGCAGCAGTACTGACCATAGCTGTCGACCTGAACCATTCATGTATGTATGGGCGGGGGGGGCGGGCAATGTTCTGATAGGAGGAATTTATTACATGTTAATTATTATGGAGTTACTAGGGATCGTGCGAAAATGAATGGCTGCTGTGTCGACAACAAGTGAACAGATGCCCCTTCTAGAACGTTCTAGAAGCCCCTTCAAACATCTCCACATAGTTTCCCGTACACGGTTCCGGAGGCCAGCAGACACTTGCGTAAATCCTTTCCACGACTATAAAAGGTAACTCATAAAAGGTATAATTTCGTCCAACCGATTGCAGTATAATAACAGCAAAGCATTTCGGCAAGTGACCAGCGCATCCAGATGCCGAACCGCAAACCGAGCAAACTACTGTTAGGGCAAGATTTACCAGTCAGAAGCAAAGCACTAAAGGCTGTTTAGTAATCTATGGTAAATTCCCTGACAGGCGTACGACATAACCGGCCAGGGGCGCGCAGTTAGTTAGCACAGTACAGACTAATTATTACTCGCCGTAACTATTGACAGTTACGGTGATTTCTAAGAGAACACGCACGTGTGGTAAAACCCAATCCTGCACGCACTGCAGGGGAAATGGGGAACCCATATAACACGCCCAAAAAGGGGGCGAGCAAAACACAGGAGAAATCCAAGGAAAGCCAATAAAAGTCACAAAGCCCAGTCAAAGACAACCACAAAAGACGCGGGAAAAGGCTAGCAGCCATAAAACGGCCCTTCCTCAACCTCGACATTCAACCACACACCGCAGGGTCTGTTCACAAACACAAGCAACCCAATTTCAAATTTCCATTCGCAAAAAAGAAAGCAACATCACCCGGCATCACGCTACTGAACCCAAAACAGAATCCAGAGACAGCAATACGATTGAACCCCAGAGGCACACAAACTTGACCGCAAGCAAGCGTGATGCCCACTTTAGGGGATCGATGTCCCCAATGGAGAGCGACAAATAAGCGACAAATGATCTCCATCACGAATGAACATCGACCATCGCCACAAACGTCGTCGTTTACCCACCACAGCAGCTGCCTACACACGACGGCCCTGCTGCTGCTGGGTTCAAGAACGCCTACCGTACACGCGGGGCAAACACGTCAACCGATTCCAAGTGGCAGGCACAAGCAAAGAGACAGGCTAACAGACAACACACTGTTGACAGCAGGTGGCTAGCCCAGCAGCCAACGTACGCCTTATGGAGGTCCCATGGGTCACCCTGTCATCAAACGCATGCACGGCTCGAAAAACCGTTTACGTACGCGTGGTTTATTGCGACAAGGCAACATTCCGCATAATTTTCGGAACGAACACACTGTGGTCAACGTGAGTCCACAAAACCCTACACCGTCATCGAGCAACAGCAGGCAGGAACACGCCTACTGGACACCTGCTAAAGTATCACTGAAGTATATTTCAATCGAATGGGCCGCTGCTGCTTTTGTCTCAGCAGCGCTTCTGATACTGAGGAAGGGATGCTTGTTTGCAAGGAGAACCAGCAGGCCCTTGCTTCACTGATTAATGATTAGGTCCTTGATAAGTGCTATAATAACGATTTTTGAAAAAAAACCTTTTTAAATTTTTTCCTGTTTGTCTCGCCTACTGGTTGCAGTCCAGCCCCACAGCGGCCAGGACCGGCAGGTCTGCCTTGTCCCTCACGGTCGGGTCACTGCTAGCCCTGATGCGTACGGCACGTACGACAGCCGTACTGGCTGCCTCTGCCGCCACAGAGGGCTGCAGTGCGTCGAGCGACACGGCAAAGTAGTTGAGGGCTGCGCACTTCAGACGTTGCTGTGCATCCCCCGTGTACATGGTCACCGCCTGGAGGTCAACCTGCGGAGTGCGTGGAGGATAAGATAGACTGAGCCTCATGGGGGTGGAGGCACGGTAGATGGTAGCAGTGGCAGCAGGTTTGTGGGTGTATGGAAATGGCAAGACGGAGATGATGATGGGAGGCGTCTTATTTGTCGTGCGCCGGGAAGCTTCACTTGCTGGTATGCGTGCCTACCTAAAGCGGCCTCAGCCCTACATGACGGCAGCAAGGTGTTACCGATAGCCAACACCTTGATCGCATCCGACATGTGCTGCATGGTGCGTGTGCACAACGTCAGGATGTCTACACGAGCCGGGCACACACTACGACGACCCACCTCTCCCGGCGTCTGCAGCAGCAGTTCAAGGGAGGCGATGGCTGGGGTGACGGTGCCGGCGCTGGCCACGTAGACCTTGACGCTAGCCAGTTGGCTGAGGGGAACAGCTGGGGTCTGGTTGAAGTAGGCCTCCACGTAGCGAGGGTTCTGAGGGGTTATTGGGAAGCATTCAGCGGATGCATGGATCTATCCGTGCTTGTATGTCATCTCTGGCGGTGCGCGGGTGCATTCGTGTTTTGGCATATGACCACATTAATTGCCATGCACCATAAAGCATTGTACGCACGCACACGGCAGAACGGATTCTGTCCTTTAGCGAAACTGTCCGTTATCACCGTTTTATTTCTCCCCTGCACGCTCCCCGCTGCTGTCCCGCACCCTATGTGCGTACCTTGATGGTTGCCACCCAGCCCAGTGTGGGCGAGGTCTTGCAGCCCTTGATGGACATCACCTTGGCGCTAGGGGGCCCCACCAGGCGGCTCACGGCGCCAAGGGCAGTGCTGGTGCCGGAGGGGTCCTGTAGCATAGCATGATGCGAGTCATTCAATGAAGGGGCGGGGAACGACGTTGTAGCAAAGAGTGATATATGGCAGGCCCAACAAGAAACAGCACAGAAGCAGCAAAAGGGTAACATAACGGGGCCACCAGCATGCAACATGCATACATGCTGTTGGAGATGGAACCGTGTCTGAACCTCTCTCAGCTCCCGCTTTGGCCCCCAAGGAAACTTGAAAGCCGTCTCGCAGCACTACTGGCAGCAAGCCACGGGTCCCACGGGATCCGCACCCAGTAGTACTCACGAAGGGGCCGATGGCAGATGTGGCCCAGTAGGTGGTGGCTGGAGGTGGTGGTGACAGGCCGGGTTGGAGTGGAGGCGGCGGGGGACGAAGACGCTTTGCTGGCGGCGGCTGGGGCGAGAAGGACGGTGGCAGGCGTGTTGCAGGACTGAGCGATGGGGATTTTGGAGGCGGCGAAGGCGATGGAGGGTTGGGGCTGCTGGGTGGCTGCTGAGGGCTGGGTGGGGTTGGGCTAGGTGGAGGCAAACTGGGGGGTGAAGGCGGGGGGCTACGCCGCCTGCGTAGGGGTGGCGAGGATGTGGGGCTGGGTTGAGGCGACGGAGGAAGCGGAGATGAAGGAGGAGACGGGGAGCTGGGTGGTGACGGGTGACTGGGTGGAGCTGGGGATGGGGGCGACGGAGGGGGGCTCGGTGGAGAAGGCGACGGAGGGGGGCTCGGTGGAGAGGGCGACGGAGGGGGGCTCGGTGGAGAGGGCGACGGAGGGGGGCTCGGTGGAGAGGGCGACGGAGGGGGGCTCGGTGGAGAGGGCGACGGAGGGGGGCTCGGTGGAGAAGGCGACGGAGGGGGGCTCGGTGGAGAGGGCGACGGAGGGGGGCTCGGTGGAGAGGGCGACGGAGGGGGGCTCGGTGGAGAGGGCGACGGAGGGGGGCTCGGTGGAGAGGGCGACGGAGGGGGGCTCGGTGGAGAGGGCGACGGAGGGGGGCTCGGTGGAGAGGGCGACGGAGGGGGGCTCGGTGGAGAAGGCGACGGAGGGGGGCTCGGTGGAGAGGGCGACGGAGGGGGGCTCGGTGGAGAGGGCGACGGAGGGGGGCTCGGTGGAGAGGGCGACGGAGGGGGGCTCGGTGGAGAGGGCGACGGAGGGGGGCTCGGTGGAGAAGGCGACGGAGGGGGGCTCGGTGGAGAGGGCGACGGAGGGGGGCTCGGTGGAGAAGGCGACGGAGGGGGGCTCGGTGGAGAAGGCGACGGAGGGGGGCTCGGTGGAGAAGGCGACGGAGGGGGGCTCGGTGGAGAGGGCGACGGAGGGGGGCTCGGTGGAGAGGGCGACGGAGGGGGGCTCGGTGGAGAGGGCGACGGAGGGGGGCTCGGTGGAGAGGGCGACGGAGGGGGGCTCGGTGGAGAGGGCGACGGAGGGGGGCTCGGTGGAGAGGGCGACGGAGGGGGGCTCGGTGGAGAGGGCGACGGAGGGGGGCTCGGTGGAGAGGGCGACGGAGGGGGGCTCGGTGGAGAAGGCGACGGAGGGGGGCTCGGTGGAGAAGGCGACGGAGGGGGGCTCGGTGGAGAAGGCGACGGAGGGGGGCTCGGTGGAGAAGGCGACGGAGGGGGGCTCGGTGGAGAAGGCGACGGAGGGGGGCTCGGTGGAGAAGGCGACGGAGGGGGGCTTGGCGGGGAGGGTGAGGAGGTTGCTGGCGGCGGTGAGGGCGACGAAGAAGGCGGCGGCGAAGGAGTGTTGGGATAAGCGAGGCAGGGTCCGCCTGTCACCTGGCCCGCAACACCCCTAGGATATATGTACAGCACTGGAGGCAGGGGAAGGGCAGCAGGGGAAGGATGAAGAATGCCACGTAAGTACGTAGCACAAGAAATTATATTAAATTTGACGGGCATGACATAATTCACACACCTAGCTCTATCAAGTCTTACGTTAAAGCTGTATGTCGCTTGCTTGTTTGTAAGGAGACCTTCCTACCTTGTCCCGGGAAGTACAACCAGGTGCTCGTGTTTTCATAGCCTGAATAGAGCAAGCTGCCCGCACTGCTTCCATCAGCGAGTTGGAAACCGTCAAAGAGCGACCCCGAAGCAGTCGTCACAATTTCGGCTAAAGTTCCAGTGAGGGGTTCAATGTTGTTGTGATCCAACGCCACCCTGCGCGAGGGAAAACAAACAATCAAGAAACATGGCAGCCAACCAACATATACAGGCACTGTATGTATGTCTAGACACGATGCGTATGCAGGTAGGGCCGATGCCGTTTGCAGACACCAAGCACCAGACCGAAGCGATCTCATGGCCTGCCCAAATGGGTGTGTAGCATGGGGGGGTGACGGTGTGGTGGGGTGGTTGGGTGCGTTTTCGCGGCTGTTTATGATGGCGGTGTGTGGGAGTCATGCTTGGGTGGGTAAGGTGGCGGGCTGGGGGGCTGACGAGGCTGCTTAGGAGAGTGGCGCATGGGTGTCCCGTTTGGGAGGGTCAGATGGCTGCGTAGGGTCATATGAGGGAGGCGTTTACAGCGTCGAGGGGCATGCCTGGATAGTGCGAATTGGCATATTGCACCAGCAAGCCCGGTGTCTGCGGCCCTCAGGGGCAAGCCGTCTTGCTAAGCAGGGTCGCAATTGCGTTGGCAACTCGAGGGTATCATAGGCGTGCACAGTAACTGACGCACGGTCCTAGGTATCAGTTGCCCTCGCTGTCACCCTCATTCGAGCACAGGGATGGGGTGGGAATGGGTTGGCAAGGGGAGTCACGGGGAGAGAACAATAAAGGCATGGAAGCTAAAGGATGGCGTGGGCAGGGAAAGGGATAGGAAAGCAAGAACAGGGTTGGTGGTGAAAGGAAAGCGAGGAAAGGTAAGGCAACAGGAAAGTAGGGGTGGGGAGGACAGGGCGGTGGCATGGCTTGCATAGGAAAAGTGTATTGAACCGTGGAGGCTATAACATCCATAGAGGCTGAGTTTGGGAGCCAAGCTTTGGCAGGGGAGGGGAGGGGATGGAGATCTGCAGGCTTCCTCTGCTGCTTCAACTGTAGTGTAGGTGCACCTTTGCACTCCACTGCGTTTGTCATATGCTGGCAGAGCCTCGTCGCCAAAGTTGTCTTCTTCTATGTGGGCAGGGGTTTGTGGGTGGCATTCAGAGCATGTTGGGCTAGTATTCAGTGGTACGCTCTCTTCGGTGCAGCATTCCTCCAGCACCTTTTCTGAAATGCACTCATAATAAACAACGTACCCATACCGCTCTCCTTTTGAGCAGTGCTTGGAACATTGTCACCAATGTCGTCAGCGAAACAGTGGCTACCTTCAAACAGTTCACTATGAGCGACCGTACCTTTTTGACTTTGTTCCAACCGCAGTCGATTCCGCACCATGCCTACAGTGATACTGGGCCGCCCCATTTCCTGCAGCAATGTCTTTGGCGACGCTTCCTTCCCAGTAGCCACGATAGTTTGTAATGCTTGTTTATACGTGAAGCCCTTCAAGCGCGTGTCGGAGCACACTTCGTCATACAATAGCTTGGCAGTAAGTTTCAGTCCGCTAGAAGCAATAGTCTCGGCTGCTTTACACAGAGCCTCAACTTCATATGTTTTCCTGCATTCCCTGGCCATTGTGTGTATTGAGTAAGGAAGGCAATACCGAAGCCATTTGTGTCGGCCCTATTAAACTACGCTGCTGGCCTTACCGCGACAACAACCTAACGGATACCAACGTGTAGCAAGCTATCGACATGCGCTTAATGCCTCTTTTTTTGTAACTTGTTTTGTACTTTGTACGACACAGGCCAATATCACTGCTCACCCATATACACATCATTATTTTAACATCACAATACAACAAACACGTGTGCATTGATTATGTGACGAACGCTGCAGCTAGAAACTCCTCTCTACTCATAACAATCGTTCTTGACTTGGAGCCACATCGCAGGTTGCCTTTGTGACTTGCATATACACATTCAAATTCCAAACCTTTTGCACGAAAAAGATGCCAAAAAGCTCACACTACTTTCTGTTAAATTTGCCGGGGTGTTCACTAAGGCTGTTCCCTTGCTTCCAAGCCGCGGCCTGGCGGAGCGTCTAGAATCAAGGGCAGGCCAAAAACCGGACGGAACGGGTTCATCACCCGTGTTCCCTTGAAGGGAGCCATTGTAACGGTCGGTCATACACTCATTCATTCAGGAAGGGGGGATTGTGCAGACCATGTTTGTTTTATTTTAGTGCCACATATGTATGTACTGTACCCACAAGCAAGGTACGTAGGTAGAGGCTTGCCTGGCTGGTCAGCACCCAAGTCCGCAATTGTTGCACACAGGACGAATGCATGTGCGGTTAAGCATACTATGTACACGTACGCACGGGACAATGAGGAACTTACGTTGTAAACGTATCAAGGTAGCAGATCCACCCAGAGGGAGCCGTAAGGTTCACTGTGGGCGGGCAAGGTGTAGGTGGTGTGCACAAGTCAAATTATTGCGCCGCCATGGCGGCCCTCGAGTGACGTTCCCATGGGTTTCTATCTATATATCTAGCTGCGGACGCGCGCCCAGAGGACGTTAATTCCGTCCCGCCGGAAGCCGCTGCAGGAGTGCTCATCATCAGACAGACCGAAGTCCCATGCATGCATACCCCGCCGTCATCATCAATAAGTTCTAGCTAGCGTACGTCATACCCCAACCCAAGCCCTAACGCGCACACCCCGATCCCCGTACGTGTTGCTGCTAGTCGTGGGACGATGGGCCCAGCAGCAGTAGTGTCGCAGCACACACATTCGGCCTAGTAGCAGCAGCAGCTGCTGCTGCCCCAGCAGAAGTAAGCTAAGTGGATGGGCAGCCTTTGCTTGGTCGTCTTTTGCGTCGGGACTACTACCATACATACCGGTATATATCTAGAGGCACCATTAATGGGGTGACCTCAAAACAGCTCGCCTTGCTTGCTTGCTAGTCGCTCGCCCGCACGGTGAGCTTGCAATGACGAGGTGTGCAATCACGTGTGCCGTTGAGGACGCACGGAATGACATACACACGAGCAACTAACTACGCTCTCATGAACACACCGGCAGCATGCATGTTTGATTGCTCGTGTCTACATACAGCACCAAGCAGTTGGATGGTCAGAGCCCCCAAAGAACCAGTGCCGTGGCGTGCTACTGATACCTGAGGCGGGTTTGGGTGCTGGCGGCGCGGTCGCCGGCGGAGGAGCGTGACTTGCAACGAAGGGCCCGCCTGCTCCCCCCTTAATGCACAGCACTGGAGCGAGGGAGGGATAGGGCGGGCGGGCGGAGTGTCACGCAGCAGCACGCACATGCAGGTCATCAAGCAAAGGGCGGGGATAAGCAAGGTACGGTATCCCCTAGGGATATATATATATATGCTGCTGGGATGGTCATCATCAGAGCAGGCTGTCCATCAACGGACCTTCCTACCTTTGCCAGGGGAGTACAGTCGGCTGTCCTCGGTAGCACTATCATAAAGGAGGGCCTCATTGCCGCCAGTAAGGAATATTATAGCGTCATACTGGTTTTTAACGGCCTGATCCACTACATCAGTGAAATTGCCTTGGACTTGAAAGCCACCCGCTGTGTTCCTGCACCGAACACGAAAGAAGATTAACATGGCAGGACAGTCAACAGCATAGCTACATGTTTAAACACTATAGGATTGACGGACAGTAATACGGTAGCATGGTTATGAACTTACGGTGGGACATCCGAATCCTGGTAGCACGTCCACCCATTGGGAGCCATATATGCTGCGGGCAAGTAATAAATAAAGGTGTGTCGTACATATGTCACATAATGCGGTGCATACAAGGTACTGTACGTTACGACTGCGGCACCGGAGACTGACCCAAGACGCAATCCCAACACACACACACACACACAGTACGTTTCGCCTCGCGGCCAGTTATTTTAACACACACACACACACAATTCCTAGATATTTAGCCCCATGCAGCCAGTCGGGACAGCCAGCAGTCAGGATAACAGTCCCAGTGATGCAGAACACACAACGGCTAGCAACAATCAACCGCTTCAGCAGACTCCCGTTCCAAATGGCAAAATCATATTTAAAACGACTTGCTGAGATCTGACGTTTCGGCGACCTCGCAGCCAAGTGTGACACTCAATGGGATGGGGAGTGATGGGCATGTATCGGTGCACCCGAGCCCAGTCCAGGCCCCAAGTTCAACCCCAGGCCGCACGCACGCACACACGCACGCACGGACGTCGCCCCCAAACATAGCAGCTATCTAGCTCCCTATCCAGCAGGGCGCAGGACGGCTAGCACGCAGCCCTAAGTGCACAGTCCCTGCTTGATAGCGGTCCCCGAGTGAGGTTCCCATGCGTTGCGGAGACGGGGTTCCAGTCTAGCTACTATTATTAGTGCCCAGGTGACGTTACGGTAGCTCCCCGTCGCTGCAGGAGCCGTCTGGCCAGAGTCCCGTGCATGCATACTCCGTACGTCAATAAGCCGCCCTAATAGTGCCAAAGGTTCAAACCCGCCCCCACAACTGGTACCTGCTGGTGGAGGTGAGGGTGCTGGCGGTGAGGGTGCCGGCGGTGGTGAGGGCGGGGGAGGAAGAGTGGGGATGCAGGGTCCGCCCATGTCCTTTCCATTGTTGATGTACAGCACTGCATGCAGCAGGGTTGGTTAGGGCAGGGAGGAAGAAGAGCACACGGGTCAGTTGCTTGGTTGGTAGGCTGCGTTGTTAGGCATCCATCCATACAAGGACGTACAGGGTACATCTATAGTACATGTACCCTTGGTCCCATAGATCAGCAGAGCGGTCGAGCTGCCGTCAGCCAATCTACGTACCTTTGCCCGGGGAGTACACCCGTCTGGTCGCGTCAGGAAAACTAGCGTAGGCGATGCCCTCGGTGCCATTAGCAGTCATGGTGAAAGCCCAGTAGTTAGACTCTACGGCTTGGGATGCTACGGCAGATGCATTTCCAACGAACCTCAGACCACCCGTTGTGTCCCTGCATGAGCGAGGGAGACACGTTTTATGACAGGGCCTGCCATTCAACGGCCTGCCTACAAGCAATCCTGGATGGTAAACGCATGTACGGCGGCGACAGCAGCACATATCGGACGACACTGAGGGACTTACGGGACATCCGCATCCAGATAGCAGGTCCATTGTGCATTGAATGTAGAAAGCACTGCGGACGGACATGCATAACGGTGTGTCGTACATTAGTGAAGCGTGGTACGTACAAGGTCTACCGGCAATTAACGTACGGTTGCTAGCATAAAACATGGACAATGCTGGACGGATATGTAATATTGTGCAAGGATGGAGGTGCTTTCTTGGACAATATTTGGAGCAGAATACTTGTGTGCCTGCCTATCTAGCAACCTATTCTAAGGGGCCCCCTGCATCATTTGTCGACCCCACAAACAATCAAGTGCACCATGTGCGCAATTGGGACGGACGGACATCGCTGGCTTGTACTACATCAAATTCCTATGCATGTACGGCACCCTTTGAGTTGCCCACAGCTCACATGCTACCGGTATGTTTGCCAAAGACTCAGCCCCTGGCTGGCATGCACTAGTGAAACCGCTTTCCGTTATCATGGAGGCTAGACACCAGCCCAGCCGCCGGCGTGCAGCCGTCCGCTCAGCTAGCACGAGGCTGGGCTTCTACAACAGCATGCTCGGATACTTCTTTGAATTGAACCGCATGCCATGTTCTCCGCTCATGGCTTCCCTGCCACCTAGGCACCCCTCCACGCCGTACATACAGGCGGCCCTGTACGTACCATCCAGCATCACAGCCCACTACGCTTCCTCTTCTGCATGCCCCGCCCTCCCCAGTCCCAGCCCCCACAGCGTTAACAGAGGCAGCCCACAACTTTGATGGTGGGTGGACCCAGGCCCCGTCGTGACCCTGGGCCGCACACACGAACCTAACCCCCTGTACGTACCGTATTGCCCAAAATTTTATTGACATGCGTTTGGAGGCCTATTTTCCAGCCCCATTTGATAAAGCGGGAATAATTTATGCCCCATTTGACTTCCTGATGGCGAATTTCTAGCCCCATTTGACATGCGCCAAAACGCCCCAAAAGCCGCCGTACATGTTGGATGTAACATGGTAAGGAAAGGAGCTGTTCAGCTGCACCGGTATGCCGCTGTGCAGCCCTAGGAGGATAAGTGGAACACCATTTGGAAACCCCGACTGGGCATGGCGCGGTGAGGATCCAGCGCACTGGCAAGTCAGTTGCCCCCTACCTCTCCGTTCCCATCTTAGTTACCCTGCAGTCACCCCAGGCGGAATAATTTGCCCCCATTTGACACCTTGCCAGCGAATTTCCATCCCCATTTGACATGGCAAAAAAACATTTTTGCCCCATTTGACAAAACCCAAAACATTTTATTTTTGTAAATTAAATTTTGGGCAATACGGTACCATCCAGCATCAGAGCCCACTACGCTTCCTCTTCTGCATGCCCCGCCCTCCCCAGTCCCAGCCCCCGCAGCGTTAACAGAGGCAGCCCACAACTTTGATGGTGGGTGCGTGGACCCAGGCCCCGTCGTGACCCTGGGCCGCACACACGAACCTAACCCCTCACACACCCCAAAGGCGCCAGACGGCCAAGCAAGGGCCCCTGCCCGATGGCGGCCCAGCCAGGAGGTCTCATACATGGTGAGCTAGCGGTTATACATACATACATACATACATACATACAAGGTA